GTTGAAACTAAAAAAATAATTAAAAAAAAATTGTTTTGCTATAAAAATGATAATCGTTACGGTCCCTGATTAAAACATTAAAAAGTCGCAAACCTAATAGGTGTATGCCTATGCCTATGACATCTTTATTGCACTAATTTGATTGTTTTTCGCACAGCTTTATCTATTTAACAATTTTGATCATCTAATACAAAAATACGAAACTGTAAATCTATTCTTTTTTCTTGGGTGTCGGTTTCGGTGGCACTATCGGTGGCGGTGGGGGAGGATTTCGTACAGCGGGGTCTTCGTCGGGGTCCGGCACGAATCCCTCCTTGATGAACTTCGAAAACTCCTCCAGTGATTCATTCTGGTTGACTGGCCTGAAAATCTCCCTCAAGTCGGTGCAGTCCTTGACGGTGACGGTCTCCCAGTCGTTTTCCCTCATGTGATAGAGACGCACAAGTCCGCCCGTATACGAATCCAGATACGTGGCATGATAGATGCTGCGCATTGCCAGACAGTAGGCCTCAACATCCTCCATATCATACTTGTAGTACGAGTCCAGGATGCCCAAGGCAAAGCAGCAGCCGCTGCCAACCGAGAAGAGATGGCCCTCGACGCAGGTTCCATCCCCGTCCACGTAGACGAGTCGCGGGCCATCGAAATCGTAGCCGGCCAGCATCATGCCCATGCTCAGGCCCAGCCCCCTCAGCCTGTAGGCAATGTTCGACAGGATGCGCGCCACTGACTTAACAGACAGCGGACGGTGGTAGGTCAGCTCGTGAAGGCGACACTCCATCGTGAGCACGCGATCCCAGTAGACGCAGTCGGCGGCGCCGCCCGCAATCGTGCCCAGGATCTTTTTGTGCACCTGCACCACTTTGCGCATGCTCTGCGAGGCGATGAAGTTGCCATTGGCGGCGCGCGAGTCGGCGGCCAGAATAATGCCGCCCTTGTACTTAAAGCCCAGCGTGGTAGTGCCATGCGTTAGCTCCACCTTCGCGTCGTCCTTATCTTCCTTATCCAGCTTGGCCAGTCGCTTCTTCGGATTGTCAAAGGGCGGTACGGGCAGCGAGTAGGGATTGTCGAACATGGTTAACACGCGAGTGGACTCCAAGTTGGTATACTCCAGGTTGGGATCCACAAGGGGCTTCATAAACATCATTTTATTTAAACCGCAAATCTGTTCGAGCGCCATCTTGCGGTCAATTTGCGCTCTCCCTCTCACGATAATAAATATTTCTTTTCACAAAATGTGATTTTTGTTGTTGCCTTGAGCTCTGTAAGATATGAAATGAATTATATTTTGTTTACATATATGAAACTTGTGATTCAGTTCGATTCCAAGCCTACTACATATAATATTTGGAACGCTGAAATCGAATAGACTTTTTGCCTTGGGGCGACTTTTTCGCTTAGTCTAATGCCTTTCATTTCTAATTATATATCCTAAATAGACGCTCTTCTATTTAATATTTTGAATATACCTGGGTAAAAGTACTTTCGTTTCACCTATGTATGTGGCTTTACCTACCAAAATTATTTTCTTAGTTTTTGTCAATTCTGTAAAGTAAAATAAATACAAAAGATAATAATAATACCGTCGAGTCTCGATAATTCGTACCCCGCTAAATTGAAAATCGCGATAAATCGAAAAAAAACTTTTAGCCCCTTGAATGAAATTCGTTCTCAATAATTATCGATAGTTTGAATTTGATCCCTTTGTCATTTTAATTATCGGGATTCTACTGTAAATTTGTATCAATAAATTTAAGAGCAATATGTATTAAAATAAAATTCGATAAGCAAAATATCGAAAACTATTTAAAACAAGAAAACTTTACCTACAACATATTGCTCTGGGAATATTTAAAGTATTTAAGCAACCAAACTGAATTTCTTTTGATGATTTTTTATGTCGACTGTGGAACTTGGGAGCCCGGGCCTCTGTGACTTGAGCCCTTTTAAATAAATACCAGACTCACGCTCAGCCATTGAGATTTTGCTAACAATAATTGGCAAAATGAGTGGAGCATTCCTAACGACGTGGAAGTACGCTCCACTTTCTTCTCGAGTTGCTTTCGCCTGCCTGTGCGAGAGAGAGAGACAGAGAGAGTGTGTGTGTGAGGGGTGCATGTGTGTGCGTGGCGGCTGCAAATGTTGAGCAATTACGTGACGCGTGCCTGGGACACCGCCGTATGATAATATGCCACAACTGTCAACAATATTTCCGGTGCAAAGTGTCTCCAATGTGATCATCCTACCCAGCATATTTCTCTCTCCCTCTCTTTCGCCCGCACACACTTTGCTCTCTGCTCACTCCGTCTCTCTTCAGCGACGTCTGTTGCTGTTTGCATGCAACCTGTATGCATGTTAGTGAGTGTGTGTGTGTGTGTGTGTGTGTGTGTGGCCTTGACAGCAATTGTTTATATGTGTGTGTGTGTGGGTAGGTATGTGTTTAGTACTCTCAGCTCGGGCACATATCATTGTCAGTGCAGGGCCGTGACTCAACTTCAGTTCGCTTGAGTTGTCTAAAGACTTGGGTCCAACTGTCGGCATCGTCTTAGCAACTAAACGACAGTTACAGCAGCAACAGCAMCAGCAGCAGCAGCAGCATCATTATAACCTAAGCATGCACTGAGCGAAATTTGCGTGTCATATGCTCAACTATAGATTGTAGAGTTCTTAAACATTATGGGTAAAGCACCGAAGTATCTTGAGCCAGATGTTTGAGCACAAAATATCTATAACTACTAATTTCTTACAGTGCATGTTATGGCTTTATAGATATACTATATGTATATAAAAAGCTATAATAGATAAATACATATGTATCAAATGAAGTCTGGTTTTGTTATGCAACCTCAAAGAAGCTTTTAAGAAACTAAGCTCTAACCAAACTAAGCAGTTGAGCTTCTATATATTATATATCGCTAATCGTTGGCTCAATAGGTTGTGGTACAGTCAAAATAGATCATCATAGATACTGAGTGATATATGATTTTTTAACAAGAATTCAGACATGAAGTTCTTCTCTGCTAGCTCAAATTCGATTGAATAGATCTTTGTATAGTTCTTGATTGAGTTTTGGCATTGCAAGTCTATGAATACCAAGGCAAGTCCTCGCAGTATACATATACTATACAGTTGCTATTTAATCTATGGATCCTTAATATTTCTCTCATTTTTGTCAACTAGTGTAGCTACCAAATCTTTAACAGCTCTTCAGCCAAGCCTATTTGCCGAGTTCTAGCCAAAACTTTAGCAAAGCGCAAAAAAGTTCTAACTGTATCTATGCAAGTGACTAACTGTTCTCTGGCTAACCCCCGCTCTCTCCCTCTCTGTCTCTCTCTCTCTCTCTCTCTCTCTCTGTCTCTCTCTGTCTACCTATTTCACTGTGTGTTGTGTTTTTTGCGAAGCAAATGCGACGTCAACGCAGTCATTAGATGGTTGGGTAGCTGCTCTTCACTGCCACGCCCCCACTGGCAGGCATAGGCGGCGTGTCTGCCATGGTGTTGCCTTTGCTATTGCTGTTGCTGTTGCTGCTGCTTCTGTTGCTGCTGCTGTTGTTGTTGGCATTAACTTGACACTTTCCCCATTGCCGTGTGGCATGCCTGGAGTCGCATGCACACACAAACACACACACACACACACACACATACGCATACAGCGAGTGAGCGACACAGGCTGCGTGCCTTCGTGTGCGTGTGTGTGCGGGAAAATGTATAACTGTAAAAGGCACTTGAAGCACATTCGCCTGGAAATTTGCCTGCATTTTGTGCTTTTATTAATGCGACGGGCGAAGAATCGCAACGCGATAAAATATTGTGACGCCTCCTGTCGGCCCCAGCTTGAAAGGACGCGAAAGGACTCGCCGTTAAGGTGCCCACTTAATTATTTATCCATGAACAAAAAAGTGCGAGACAAAAGAAAACAATTGCAATTCTTGGATTTTCCTAGAAGCTGAAAAGTGGAAAGCAAAAATCGGAAAGTATCGAAAATGAGAAGTACTTGAAACTGAAGTTTGGGAAGTCGAAACTGCAATCACTGGGAATTAAAAACTGGCAGGCAGATATTAGAAATTACATCTAAATTCTAAAGACTGGCAAATAGATGCTCAAGTCTAGATGCATAAAACTAGAGATTGGAAACTATTGCTGGATGCTGGAAACTACAAATTTGAAACTATTAACTGGAAACTAAAATATGTAAACTTTGCAGAAACACATAAGCAAAGAGAGAGAGAGAGAGATAGAGAGAGAGAGAGAGAAAGAGAGAGGACACTCGGAATTTAGGAATAGAAACTATAATCGAGAGGCAAGAAGAAGGAGAAGCAAGTTATTTAAGATTCTGAATAAAAATCTGAGATCAAGAATCCTACAAGCCAACCAATTTCAAACTGTAGTTTTTTGATAAAGTCCGATCATCTTTTGACTTGAAAGTTGATGTTAATGCCATTGCCAGCTTAACATGCATGTTAAAGGGGCACATCAAAAACCCTAGAGCTTCAGCCGGGGAATAAAAGCGCAAAATGAACTAATTGCTCGCTTCAATCTGCATTAATAGTCGACTTAATGAACAATTTTTCGTTATTGTTTTGTTTTTTTTTTTTTTTTTGTGTCCCGTTGATGCACATTGATCGTTGTTAGAGGACAATGTTAGTTGGGAGCGCCGCTCTCCACTCGGCACGCGCCATTCAGTTGTTGCTGAAGTGCGGTCCAAGTAGCGGCAGCGGTTCATGGCCAACAGCATTGTAGTGCAGCACCGACCCCTGCGCCCTGCGGCCTGTGCCCTTCGTCCGGAAAATGCAAATCGTGCTGAATTGCATTTTTCGCAGCAGCAGCAGCAGCAGCAGAAGCAAACAGCGAGCAAAATTCAAACTGCACATTTTTATAGGCAGGCTGCTTGAATAGCTGCACTGGCGCCAGTCGCTGCGGCTGCCCGGCTAACCCCGGCTCCAACTACAGCTGCTGCTGCTGCTGCTGCTGCTGAACGAGGCGTTGATAAATGTGGCAGACGCCAACGCCAGTTGCAGCCAGGACTAGACCAGTGTCATTTCTGCTGCTGCTACTCCTGCTACTCCTGCTGCTGCTGCTGTTAAGTGTTGCAAATCCACTGAGCGGCATAAAATGTTGCGTCATCCGGCGTGCAAATGCTGGTTGGAGCTGCAGCTAATAGAGGACGACCTCTGGTGAATGACCATTTTTGGTCGTAGCACCCTCCGCTCGGTACCCTACTCTACCCCCTGCTCCTTTGCCCGAAACTGAATTTTCTGCCACTATTTTTTTTCCACGAGTTTTCTTTCATTTTCATTTTGTTGCTGCCGTTGTTGTTGCTTTTTTCTGCTTTGGTTTTCTTTCATGGGGTAAACGCTGCGGCAGCCTTGTTGACAATTTGTCGACGTGTCAGAAGAGTCAACGTGAATGTGACAAGTGACGGCGACGGACACGGCGACGGAGACGGAGACGGAGACGTCGACGTCGAGCGCGGATGCTGACGAGACAGGCGAACTGGGCTGAGTTGTTGGTTTCGTGGTCCATTGGACAGTTGGACATGGCGGCGGCTGGTTTTCGTCTCGCCTTTGTTGTTGTTGTTGTTGTTGCTGTTGTTGTTGTTGTTGTTGTAACTGTCATCATTTTCGCTTAAATATTGATATGCGCTACGCCACAGTGCGGTTGCAGCTCTTTGGCCATAAGCCTTGGCATTACGGCCATTCGTACATTCCATCTAAAAGAGAGAGAGAATAAGAAAGACAGAGAGAGAGAGAGACAAAATATTCCATAACATTCAAGTATACCGCAAAATATGAGATGAAAGATGATTGATGAAAAAAATATCTTGATATCTGACCAAAAATTGATCTTGAGCTGTGCGGAAATGGGACACATATATATACATGGAATGCTGGAATGGAACAGCATATTAAGTCATGAATTTCTTTATTGCTAAATAATATAAAAAAAACAATGCAAATAGTAGAGTATTATAGAAATGGAACACAAAAATGGAACGCTGAAATGAAACAATTAATGAATATCACATGAACGGATATCACATGATATCAAATGATCTGAATTGATGCGTGATTAAATGCATTCAATATGAGCCATTTAGTACTTTGGAATGCTGGAATGAAACAGTTTCATTTCGATTGTAGGTGCTTGTGAGTTCGTTATAGATTTCAGATTGCATAGCCGAAAATTAATTTTTACCCAAACGAAAAGTCAGAGTTGGCTGTTAGCGAGGACGTAAACGGCATAATTGATATACGTATGCATGCATGTATGTATACCTATGTGTGTGTGTGTGTGTGTGGAGGTCATCAGGCAAACAGCAGTCGTTGACATATAGCGATCCAGATGCAGATGCAGATGTCCTTATGTCACTAATTACATGCATGTCAATTTTTCGCTCATCATTGCGCCCGGCGGTGGCGATGCCGTTCCGATTCCATTCCATTCCATTCCAATCCGTTTCGTTTCGTTTCGATGCGGACAATTCACTTGGCACTGTGCGAACGGCAACAAAACCAACACATATTTGGACAGTTTGTGGACAGGCCGGATGGTTTCACTGTGGTCATCAGCATCGGACTGATGTCCTGCGTCCAGCGCTCGTCCTTGCGCTCGTGCATTCATGTGTGCGTATCTTTTTATTAAATTTTTCATTATTTGCTGACAGCTGTCGGTAAATGGAATTGTTTATTACCTGAACCCGCACCAGATGAAGTTCGCTATGCCGTTATCCCGTTGGTCCTTCGGCCGATGCTGACGCCGCATCGTTGTCGGTGATTATCATAACGTTTGCACTGGACAGCCAGGCCTGCCTGGGCTACCAGGGCTGCCAGCCTGACCGGCTGCAAATGTTGACAGTTTTGGGCAGCACAACAAAACACAATTGCGGGTTAGCAGCTGCAGCTCCAAAGGGGGACGCCGAGGCTACCGGGGGCCTCTTTAGTCAGGAATACATTGAGCGAATCGAGAGCTGAGCTTGAATTTGAAAATCGAAATGCATTTTAGAAATGCATTCTAACCCACAAAACCACAAAACAGAATGAGTAACAGATGTTCTCTCACTATTTCTATATCTGCCTCTCTCTCTCTCCATCTCTCTTTACCATTCCTTGCGTATGTGTGTCCTATAAAACTATGATTATATTTGTATTGAAAATTTCAATTGAAAATCAAGATTATCTGTTTAGTTAAGAGAATCTCATCTAGCTTCAATTTTCTATCTCTTATATCTTGTATCTTGTATCTTGTACCTTGTATCTTGTATCTTGTATCTTGTATCTTGTGTCTTGTATCTTGTATCTTGTATCTTGTATCTTGTATCTTGTATCTTGTATCTTGTATCTTGTATCTTGTATCTTGTATCTTGTATCTTGTATCTTGTATCTTGTACCTTGTATCTTGTATCTTGTATCTTGTATCTTGTGTCTTGTATCTTGTATCTTGTATCTTGTATCTTGTATCTTGTATCTTGTATCTTGTATCTTGTATCTTGTATCTTGTATCTTGTATCTTGTATCTTGTACCTTGTATCGTCTGTTCTGTTTCATCTTCCATCTTCTATCTCTAATCCATCTATCTTCGCTATTCTTTATTTGTCTTCTTCATTATCTTCTCGGAGCAGGTCTCCACGAGTTTCTTATAATGCTCAACTGGTTGAAGTGCAGGTCTTACCGCTGTCAAGCTACTTAAAGTTTATAGTTGGCTGTCCGACCTTATGGCTCACACACAATTTGCATTAGGTTGGCGGAAACAGCTGCAACACTTTTTCGGGCGGCTCGCTAGCCCGTGGCGCGGGGTGTGGGAGGGGGCAGCCGGTCTCAAATTGCGGCTGCTTTGCTAACAATGGCAAATCAAATAAGTTGCATGCAGTTTGCACTTAATTGCCAGTGCCAAAGTGGCAAGAGAAAAAAAGAGGCAGCAGCGGCGTCGGCGTCGGCGTCGGCGTAGGCGTCGGCATCGGCGACTGCAGTTGCAAGTGCCAAGTGGCATGTGGCAGCTGCAGCACAGAGTCGAAAGATGCTAGCTGCTAGATGCCAGAGAGTTTGGGGTTGGCCAGCAGGAGGTGGGCGGTTGCGGAGGGTGCTCTAGTGGAGCCTGGGCGATGGGCAACATGAGAACCAATTAAAGACATCGTTGGCAGCGGCGCTGTCGTCCGGCGTTGTTGGCAAACGTCAACGTCGAAAACTAATTAGCATAACAAGCAACAAAGCGTACCGAATGCTGGGCAAAGGGGTTGCTTGTAATAGTGAGGGGTATATGTATGTGTGTGTGTGAGTGTGAATTGGTGTGTGGAACGAAGCCAAGTGGTGCTGGCAACCTAGTTATTTGCTGCATGTGTGTGTCTGTGCGTCTGTGTGACTATTTGAGGCTTCCGGAGTCTGGGCACAGCAACAGCTTCCAGCTTGGCTTGTGGGCGCAAATCAAAAGTTGCGCCATTAAAATGAGCAGCACAACTAGTGTGTGAGAGAGAGAGAGAGAGAGGGAGAGATAGACACACACATGCACGCACACCCACATAACCATAAACAAATACAATTACAAGTCAAGCAAAGCTTTACAGTTTGCAACTGGAGACTGAGGCTGGTCGTCCTTGCAGCGTTAATAAACTGTCGGCATAAATAAAATGTAAGAAGCAGCAGCCGCAGCAGCAGGACACTGGCTTTCGAAGCCAAGCAAAATAAAAATAGAAGGCGCGTTATGATTTATGCGCCGCTGCAGCCAAAGCTAAAGGACTCTCTTCAGCAGCCAGGCGGCAGGCAGCAGGCGGCAGGATGTGACTGTGACTATGTGGGTGGCTGGCCGCTTGACTGGCTGGCTGGCTGGCACTGGCTGCTCCACATCGACGCCGTCTTCCGGCGTGCAAATAAAATTTCGGGCATTGGCGGTCGGCGCATGTTTCTGATGGCGACGAGACAGCAGCGAGACAAGCTCAAAGGGATTAAATTAAAATGTCCTTTGAGTTGTGTTTTAATTACTTCCTTTCTCGCTCTCGCTCTCTCTCTCTCTCTCTCTCACTCTCTCCCTCTTGCTCGCTCGCTCTCAGTCTGTGGCAATGAAAACGTTGTCTGTGCCAAACTCCTCAAGTCACAGCCGGCACGCCCACAGCTCGCCCACACAGCTGCCGTCACAGCCGGAGACAGCATCGCATCGCATCGCTGCGAAAACTTAAGACAGTTCCACAATTTCTGGCCACAAGCCCAAAAGTTGCCAAAGTTTTTAACCTCAACAACGAATCAAATTGTCGAACAGACCAACGAGAAACCACGGAAATCTCTTTCAAGTGTTCACGGAGAACTATATATATATAGATATAGATATATATACATATACATATATATAACTATGTATACATTTGACAATCTTGTACAACTCTAAGTAGTATACTCTGGACCAATTACAAATTGATTGAAGAGGGTACATTGGCATTGTGCAAGTGTGTGCTACCTGATTGAAGAAGGCATAAGAACTTAGTTAGGATCAATGGAATGATATATGTATATATACATAGTCTATGTATTCATGTTTATCGAAACCCCCTTTATTGTAGTAGTATACGATGTATTTATTTCTATCCGCCTATGCTCCTCAGTCCGTACGTTCATTCATCCATCTATCCGTCCACCTGCAGGTATTTATTATAAAACTTTATTTCTCGCCTGGTGAACGCCTCTATCCTTTTCCAATGATATGTTGATTTAGTTCTCGAAGCCTATCTGGATAGCTAGTGAAGGTTCGTACCTCCGCTAAATAGATATGAGTGCTTTCATTAATATTGCTATCCCCATTATTATCATCATTGCTCTTATAAAGCTAACCTAGAATTACATGGCTCTCCAGTCTCAATAACTGAATTACTTTAAGTAAACTCCATCTATCAATGATTTCGAATCGCTTGAAATGTTATTCAAGTAAATCGCTCAAATATCTCCCCAGAGCTGACGTCACAAATAGTTGCACAATTACAATTACAGGTAAAACATTGCTGAGCAAACCGACTCAACACAACGCACACACACACATAAGTGTTTGAGCTCACCAATACACAGACACGGAGAGCGTCTAAGTCAATGGCTACAGCCAGCTGGCTGCAGTGGACAGGTTGGCTGGCTTTAAAGTTGGTCAATGCTTGGGGCCAACAAATGGCAACAGTCAGAGCCAGATAGATATGCGGCGATAGTACATATGTAACTGCAGAGGGCTGGTTAGGAGGGGGCAGCAGGGGGAGGGAGAGAGAGAGCTCATTCATTCTCATCAGCGTATTGGGGATTTGGCGCCTTTGTAGCGCCTGTCAAGTGTCGCGTGCGTGAACCGAGCGACGTGCGTGACTGCAGCAGAGCGAGAGAGAAAGAGAGAGAGAGGGAGAGAGAGAGATGGAGTGAGGGAGGGAGCGGGAGAACGAGTGTGAGAATGAGCATGGGAATGAGACTGAGACGGAGAGTGTGAGAGGGCGCGCCGCAGGAGCCGAACCTGAAGCTGGGCTGCGAATATCGACGCCCCAAACAAATGGCCAATTAATTGCCAGAGCCAGCAGCAAACAGTGCTAGACAGGCCCCGGAATGCCACTCGCTGCCACTGGCTGCTCTGCCTGCTGCTGTCTGTGCTCGGCTCTCTGCTGACTGCCACTGCAATCGATTATTTATTTATTTATGCCACGCTGTGCCGCCTTCAATTGGCTACAATTGGCGCTTATCTCTGACGGGCTTAGTGGGCGTTGCGCCTGGACCGAGCCTTACAAATGTTTTGCATATCACCGACACGAAAGCCGGGGCCAGAGCACGGCGAGCAGCGGCTGCCGGCTGGCGACAGTGCAGACAGTGCCTTAGAAAAATCGTTGGACGTTGGGCTCTGTGTGCTGTAGCCAGCCCCATTGGGGACTTTGCATACATTTTGCCCACTGGCCTCGGCTCGGCAGTGGCTTGGCCAAATATTTTAGGCCCTCGCACTTGGGCGCTCTGCATGGGAATTTATTTGAGCAAATTTGCAAATTATTGCGTTTCGTGCCGAGTGCGAGAGTCCTTTCGTGGACATCTATTACGCTAGCCCATTTACATTTGACAATTGCCTTGTTGGCATCTTTTTAATGGGCCGCCTCTACCGCACCGCCCCGCTTCCGCAGCAAACTCCTTCGCCTTCGCGTTCGCCTTCTCCTTCTCCAGCGCCTGACGCCCCTATTTCCATCTCTGGCCGACGTCAAAGCTCGTCGAGCTCAACACGAATTTGGCACGCTGGTTTTTTATGGCCTTTGAGTGGATTTCGCAACGACAGCGCACAAATTGGCGACATGCATTAGAACAATGGCCAGAGAGTGGAAGGTTTTCGCTTTTGCTGCTCTCCCCAACATTTCAACAGATTTTCATGGACATTAAAAGCGCAAGTGAAAGTATTTTTAATGTTTTTTAAAAGCTGCCAGAGCTTCACAGTTCTTCACAGTTTACAGTTATCTACAGCGAAAGAGGCCCAAATTGCAATTCGAATTAAAGCTTCGCAAAGCTTTTGCAGAAGCTAATTAATTTAGCTTTAATCTTTAAATATGTTTTYCCTTTTGACTTGGATTGCAGCATAGGGAGTAAAATTTAAATAATAATAAAAAATAATAAATAAAAGTATAAAAAAGCTTTAGATAATCCTGCTTTTATTTGTAATATATATTATTAAAACAATTATGAAATGGCTCCAGTTTATTTGTTTGCCTAGAGCTTTCCATAAGCTTTAAATCATGCTCCCACAGTTTTAGCTTTTCTCAACAATTCTCAAACAAAGCCAAAATTCCGAGCTCATTTCGAGCCTAACTTGGTGAATTCTTGCACTCATTTACTGTTAGATATTTTGTGTAGAGCAAAAGATGCAATCAAAGTCGGAAAAGTAAATGCGACTAGGCGTAAATATGCCAACAGTGATATCAGCCCGATCTGTTAGACAGATATTTTGGAGAGCTTTGGCTCATTTGTTGGACAATTAAAATGTAGTTAGAGCCAAGAGCTGGGCATTGGCTTCAATTTTTATGCAAGCATTTTGGAAATTCCCATGCCAACTTGGCCAACGGCCGGC